CGTTTAAAGGCAAATTGGATAATTCCAATTTCCACCCACCCAATTGGACTCCCGGAGAGTATTTGGGACCATGATAAACATTTCGAAAATTATTATTTTCGGGCAAATAAAAGTCAAAAAACTCCAAAATAAAGGTTAATATCCACGCTTTTTGACAAATTTTTGAAGTTACGGGACCCGGTGTTGAAAAGGATTGAGATTTTAGGGGTACATCTCGGGGTCATATAATGCCGTTTGGAACCATATATGATCATTATATATTGTCATAAATGTTCATGGTACGCTTGAATTAATGAAATCGGTGCAAGTTGTAATTCGATAAATTAGTCGTTTAAAGGAAAATTGGATGGTTCCACCCACCCAATTGGCCTCCCAGAGGGGACCATGGTAAAAATTTCGGCAATTTTTATTTCTAAGCGAAAAAAGTCGAAAAATTCCAAAATTAAAGGCTAATATCCACGCTTTTTGAGATATTTTGGAGGTTTCGGGGCTCGGTGTCAAAAATTCTTTAGATTATAGGAGATACATATCGGGGTCATATAATGCCGTTTGGAACCATATATGATCATTATATATTGTCATAAATGTTTAGGATAGACTAAAGTTAATGAAATCGGTGTAAGTTGTAAACCGGTAAATTGATCGTTTAAAGGCAAATTGGATGGTTCCACCCACCCAATATGAATCCCGGAGATTATTAGAGACCATGGTAAACATTTCGGTAATTATTATTTCCGGGCCAAAAAAAGTTAAAAAATTCATAAATTGAAGGCTATATCCACGCTTTTTGAGAAATTTTGGAGGTTTCGGAGCCCGGTGTCGAAAAGTCTTGAAATTGTTGGGAATACATCTCGGGGTCATATAATGTCGTTTAGAACCATATATGATCATTATTTGTTGTAACAAATGTTCGGGGTATATTTGAATTAATGAAATCGGCGGAAGTTGTAAACCGGTAAATTGGTCGTTTAAAGGCAAATTGGATGGTTCTACCCACCCAATTGGACTCCCGGAGGGTATTAGGGATCATGGTAAAAATTTCGGTAATTTTTATATCCGGGCAAAAAAAGTCAAAATATTCCGAAATTGAAGGCTAATATCCACGCTTTTTGAGAAATTTCGAATGTTTCCGGGACCGGTGTCGAAAAGCATTGAGATTTTAGGGGATACATTTCGGGGTCATATAATGACATTTGGAACCATATATGATCATTATCTATTGTCATAAATGTTCATGGTAGGCTTGAGTTAATGAAATTGGTGCAAGTTGTAAATCGGTAAATTGGTCATTTAAAGGCAAATTGGATGGTTCCACCCAGCCAATTGGACTCCCGGAGGATATTAGTGATCATGGTAAACATTTCGGCATGAAAAAAAGTCAAAATTTTCCAAAATTGAAGACTAATATCCACGCTTTTTGATAAATTTTGGAGCTGAGGTTTCGGGTAGAGCTATCAATTCGGGTAAACGTGTCGGGTTTGGGTCGGTAAGAGTAGGTCGGGTAAACTCAGGTCGGGTCAATTTGGATTAATTCCATAACCTATGCGGGTTGGGTTTGGAGTGGGTCATGCTTAACCGGTCACGTCGGGTCATCATTCTTATCTGGTTTTGGTCGGGTTAATAACAGGTCGGGTTACATTTGGATCGGATGAACAATAGGTCGGGTTTAATTCGGGTTTTTTCAGGTATAAAATGGGTTAGGGTAATTCTCGGGTTCGAGTCAAGTCAATAATTTGCGGGTTATAATTAGGTCGGACCATTCTCGGGTTTGAGTCAGATTCGGTTCAAGTCAATAATTTGCGGGTTATAATCAGTTCGGGTCATTCTCGGGGTCAAGTCGGGTTCGGTTCAATTCAATAATTTGCGGGTTATAATTAGGTTGGGTCATTTTCAAGTCGGGTCATTCTTGGATTCAAGTCGGGTTATGTTCGAGTCAATAATTTGCAGGTTACAATCAGGTCGGGTCATGTCCAAGTAAGGTCATATTCGGATTTAACTAACTATAAATACATAATTATCATTTTTATCAAGCTAATTATTTTCTTTGATTATAATATATATGGCAATATACAAGGGAACTATAGTCTATAATTTAGAAAGATAATTATCTCCTTTGACCATACAACAAATATATACTATATTTAACGCTTAAATTTGAGGATGATGCTCCTATCTTTTGCTAGCCTGGACTGACTTGATCTCCCTAGATAAAATGCTTTTAACATAATAATAAGGTGGTCTAAATTGCATTTAAGGAGATTTGAAATCGGGCCAGGAACAATTTAGGTTGAATTTAGGTCGGGTCAATAACAAGTCGTGTTGATTTCGAGTTGGGTTAGTAACAGACCGGGTTGGATTTTTGGGTCGGGTTAGTAATAGGTCTAGTAAAATTCGGGGTAGGGTAATAACAAGTCAGGTTGAATTTGGGTCAGGTCAATAACAAGTCCGATTGATTTCAAGTCGGGTTTATAACAGGTTGGGTTAATTTCAGGTCGGGTTAGGAACGAGTCTGGTTAAATTCAGGTCAGGTTAGTAACAAGTCAGGTTAAATTCGGGTTTTGACGGGTTAAAACAGGTTTGGGTCAATTTCGGTTCAAGTCGGGTTCGGTTCAGGTCAATAATTTACGGGTTACATTCGGGTCAGGTCATCTTCATGTCAGTTCATGTTCGGATTCGGGTCTCACATACTCGGGTCAACTCGGGTCTAGGGTTGGTTTCAGGTTGGGTTTGGGTCACCATTTTTTCGGGTTTAGATGGGTCGGTTAATAATCGGATTTGAGTCGATATTTTGGATCGGGTCAACTTTTGGCAGCTCTATCCCTCTTGTTCTGTATATTTTTTTTTTGACGGGACGGGCTTTATTGTTTTGTAACTTGTCTTAATTGTTTGAACTTGTTAACTTTTACAGAGTATTTAACTCCTATAAAGCAGGATGAACAACCTTTTTTTTTTTTTTTTTTTTTTGTACTTTAGTACTTGTCCTACTATCTATGAGTTAGTTTGTGGATGATTATCTAACTTAGTTGGTTAAAATATTAGGGCTAAAACTCAAAATCTGATATCAAATTCCATCTAAACTATTTGTCTTTGTAGCTATTTCTACATCAAAAAAAAAAAAAAAAAAAAAAAAAAACCTGAAAAAAAAAGTAGTACTACGTACTTGTATATAAGTTGGTTTAATTTGATCTTTTATGTTCCTTTATGGAAAGGTAAGCCAAAAGAACCTAAAATACTTTCCCACTTACCTGACTGTGCTTGTTTAGTGGGCACTTTAATTCACTTCTAATTTCTCCATCATTTATGGGCGGTTAAATCAATAGATGAGACTGAAGCTCAGAAAACTGGGGGCAGAATTTGCTCAACGTGTAGAAGATGGTGAAGATTAGGGAGAAAATTAAGGTCTTTTTTTTTGTCTTAATCTAAAGGAGTAGATGGGAAGAACCTAACAATTGCCTTAGGATGTGGGTGTTACATATTATAAATTTCGAAATACTCATACAACTAATACAGGTAGATTTTTAAGAGAAAAATGTATCAAGTCGACTAATACCTCATAGTGACTTCCTCCAAACTTAGTAACAACCTAAACACCAAATTCAATTTTGTGGTCAAGCATGCCATTAGATACATCAAATCCTTATTTTCGAGTGATTAAACCATAACGCCGATGCTAATACAACTTAATTATTAATATTGATAAGTATATATTGACATTGGCGTTACTCCCTTTATTAAGGCATCAAAAATTGTCATTTCATTTGGCATCAAAATGTACTATTAGCGAAGTAGTTACATATAAGTGGTAGTGTAATCTAAACACGACAAGTTAGAAACTTGATTAAGAAATTAATTAGTATATAATCAAGAGAGGGAATTAATCAGTGGATAGTGTGGTAGTTGGCCTACAGTACTTACTAGGTTTGATACTTTGAATTGTATTCACTATTCCCTTTCCTCTCCCTATGATAGGGAGGCCCTTCTTTACTTTACCCTAAAATTATGGGATGTCACTATAAAACATGTCAGTACTCAGTATTATGAAAACACATAAATAAAACTATAGTTCTTATAAGTATTGTCTTTGTCCCAAAAAAATAGAAAAAAAGAAAAAAAAAAAAAAACAAACCTAGTCTTATGAGTAAATGCTTCAAATTTCATTGATCTAAACTTTCAAGTCATAAAACTCAATGTTATGATAATATTTAATCATTGTTCATATGAGTAAGTAGAAGGATTTTCTTATGAGTTGAGAATTTGAGATCTACTTATCGTCTGTACCACAGTACAATGCTCCCTCCATCTCTTATATAGTGACATATTTAGATTTTTTTCACGAGAATTTAAGAAAGTTGTTGATTTCTTAAAACTAATGATTAGGAATATAAATATGTATTTGCGGTTAGAGAGAAATAGAGAGAAAGAAAATGTACATAAAAAATGAAAGAAAAATAATGACAACTCATAAAAAAAAAGTATAATTTTTAAATAGAAATAGGCCGCTAATTTTAACTACCTAAAAATAAAAGACGGGCCATTAGGGATGGAAGGAGTAACATACTAACCGTGTGACTTTTAAACAAGAATATATCCAAGTCCAAGTAGTAAAAAAAAACAAAAAAACAAATTGGTGTGTAATGCTTGTAGCAGTAGGTGCTAAACTGCTGAATGAAGTCGATTAAGTTGCACCCACTTATTTGGTCCCACAATTATCAACACCTTAAAAGTTATTTAGATCAACAATAATTTCCACTTGCTAACCAAAAGCTTGAATTGATTTAATTTAATGTTATAGGGAGAAACTCAGCGTCATTTCACTTTCTCTGAATAGCTACTTTAACTAGCAACAGTCCATTTAATAAGAACAAAAATAGCTTTACACACTTTTTAATATCTACCCATTTAAGGAACCAAATATCAAATTATACTATGTACAATTACAAAAGGATATAAATTACTTCTTAATTTTCATCAACCTTCTTAATTATGAATATAATTAGATAATGACATTCATATTATTCGAGTAAAACAAGGTCTAATTTGACATGAAACAATATTGATCAAATGCAAAAATGGACAAGACCACAAGACTATTATTGATTAATTTATAAGCAATTTGACACTAGACTAGAATATGATCAACTGGTTTAACTTGAATCAATATGATCAAAATAATTTTGAATCAAACATATATATTTTGATTCCCGTTTGCCATCTCGATTTAGTAAAATGCAAGTTCAGGCTAAGATAGATTATCAAAAAAAGAAAAAAAAAAAACAATTATCTAAACTTACTAATCATGGAAAGAGGCAAAAGATAAATATCTTTAACACTCTTCAAATCTTGCAACAAAGCTAACTCGTGCCCTTATTAACATTGGATCCTTAATTCCTTATGAAATATCTTTTGATTACAACAAAATTATTCCAAAATTGCTACTATCAGCAAAATAACACTTTTTTCATTTGTATACAAACACTAGACATACACCACTATTCATGCTTATATAAGCACTTTTAGGTGAATCTGTTGAATCATAGCATTGGTTACATTTATGGTAGATAGGTCATCCAATCCTAACACACCATTATACTAATTAACCAAATGTAAATAACATTTAAACATTCAATTAAATTTTTCCACCTAAATAATAATACTTGCACGTTCAAGGAAAAGTCCCCTTCATCAAGCAAATAAATTTTGGACCCACCAACTTCATTAAATAAAGCCTGAAATTTCTAATTTAATGAAGTCCTTCTATAAATAGGGTTCATATTTTCTCAATTACTGCATCCAATCACCAAAACATTGTCTTTTTTTACTTAAAAGAAAAAATCATCAAATGAGTTCAATCCAATATCCTGAAATTTTTCTTGCAATTGTATGTTTTTTTGTCACTTGTTTTTTGACAAGACATGGTATTCCATGGAATTGGCCAATTGTTGGAATGTTACCAAGTCTTTTAATTCACCTTAATAGGGTTCACCACCGTTGTGTTGATCTTTTGCAACAAACAAATTGCAACTTTCTACTCATAGGTCCATGGTTTACCAACATGGATGCCTTGATCACCGCCGATCCCGCCAATATACAATATATTATGAGCACCAACTTTACGAATTATCCGAAAGGAGAAGAATTCCTAAAGATATTCGATATCCTAGGGGATGGTATCTTTAATTCCGATGGGGAATTGTGGAAGTTTCAAAGGAAGATTACGCGGTCTTTAATTAATCATCGGAGGTTTATTCGATTTTTAGTTAAGGTTACTTATGATAAGGTACAAAATGGATTGGTTCCTATACTTCAACATGCATATAAAGATGGTCATGTTGTAGACTTGCAAGATGTGTTTCAAAGGCTTACCTTTGATTCTACATGCTTGCTAGTCACGGGCCATGACCCGGGTTGTTTATCACTCGAATTCCCGGATGTTCCCTTCTCGAAAGCCCTAGATGATGCGGAGGAAGCAATAGTCCATCGACATGTCCTCCCCGAAAACTTTTGGAAGTTACAAAAGTGGCTTGGATTAGGGCAAGCGGAGAAACTAAGCCGAGCTTGGAAAGTCCTTGATCACTTCATTGATTACATTATATCAATGAAGCGCGAAGGACAAAAGAGTGGGAAAATATCAACCTTCAAGGGAGGAAACGAAGAAGAAGGCGTCGATCTCTTAACATCATTCCTAAGAGAAGAAGTCGAAACAAGTGCAATCGATATAACCAACGACAAGTTCCTAAGAGATACAATCCTAAACCTTATGCTAGCCGGACGTGACACAACTGGTTCCGCTCTTACATGGTTCTTTTGGCTAATAACACAAAACCCTAAAGTCGAAAAAAAAGTAAGAGACGAACTAAAAAGCATGATTATACCAAAAGATCAAGCAAATCAATGGCATGTTTTCCAAATAGAAGAAACCAACAAGCTAACCTATCTTCATGCAGCAATATGCGAGTCATTACGATTATACCCTCCTGTACCATTCCAACACAAATCTCCAATCCAACCCGATACCCTACCAAGCGGCCACCACGTAACCCCAAAGACGAAAATATTGTTTTCTTTATACGCCATGGCGCGTATGAAGGGCATATGGGGCGAAGATTGTTTCGAGTTTAAGCCCGAGAGATGGATCACTAAGGAAGGCAAGATTAAGTACGAGCCACCTTATAAGTTCTTATCGTTCAATGCTGGTCCACGGACTTGTCTAGGGAAAGAAGTGGCTCTTACTCAAATGAAGATGGTTGGTGCAACTTTGATACATAACTATAAGTTTCATGTTGTTGATGGACACAATGCAGAACCAGATTTATCAGTTATTCTTCATATGAAGCATGGATTAAAGGTTAATGTTAGTAACAGATGGAGTATTGCTTGTAATTAGTCTTAGAATTTGGATGTTTTTTATATTATTTTATTTTTATAATTATATATTATAATTTTTTGTGAGTTGAAAATTATATGGGAAGCAATGTTATAAAGTTCAGTAAACAATTAATGCAAAAGATGTTAAAATTATGTAATATCAAGATTTTTTGTAATATAGCATGTACTATTGTACTAAATGTGCTGCCAAAAAAAAAAAATGTACTATATGTATGAAATGTAGTATCAGAAATTAAGTTGCAACTATATATAAACCGTCGGACAAAAAATTATGTTTGTTTACTACAGTATGATGAATCTTCCACTTCTTTTCTCAACTACTAACTGTCTAGATTTATACGGAGGAAGGAATTTTGACCAAGGGTGTGTTCTATGAATCTATCTACCACTTTTTCACTTATGTAGACGTACTTATGTAAACTTATTCAAACCTAGCTTAACTCTTCAAAACTGAACCTACTACAACTTATTTTAGTTACTACCTCCGTTTCTTATTATGTGCAACAAAGAAATATTTTATGTCTCATAAATAATACCCATTTGTTGCACATAATAAGAACGGAGGTAGTATATTATAAGTTGAATAAACTTATCCAAACCTAGCTTAACTCGTCAAACCTGAACTAGTTCTTATTAGAACTTATTTTAGTTATAAGTTGAATAACCCTTACTAACCTCATCAAAAACTTGTTTTCTCTTAACTTGTAAGGTGCCTAAAAAAGCTTAGAATGGAAGGTTAGGAAAGGTTGTTGTGCTAAAGTCATCATCTGATTAGGGAACACTAGGTGTAAGATAGGGCCAATTCTGAATCAAGCAACGGTCATCAGCAAAATGCTCAACTAACCTCTAGGCTTCCTAGAATGGTGCATAAATCTGTGAACTGTCACTCTAGTAGTCAGATTATTTACTACTCAAGTGATGTTTCTTCTTCAAATTAAAGTACCAGTAGCATTCAAAGTTTGTAATTACTCCATAGCTCACTTTGTTATGTGGGGCTGTGTTTGCGCACAAGATTCAAGAATATTGCAAATGGAAAAAAGAAAATGAGTCCAGGTATCATCTAAGAATGTATTCCATGTGTCTTTAAAAAAATTACCCACTCAAAAAATACAACACATTATAAATACTCCTTCTGTTACATATTACTCGCAACAAAAGAATATTTTATGTCTCACAAATAATACCCCTTTGTTGCGAGTAATTCGTAACGGATGAAGTAAAATAAGACAATAGAGGTAAGGCGGTCAATAGGTGAGGGTATATGAAAAAATGAGTCCAGATATCTTTTAAGAATGTACCCCCTTGGTCTTTAAAAAATCACTCCACTTAAAAAATACACATCATTGTTAATAAAATACTTGTAAGGCAACAGAGGTAAGGCGATCAAAAGGGTATATCAATGAGTATATTATATTTACTTCTTTAGTTCAATGTGTTATTCCATTTTGGATTTGGAGCTCATAGTATTGTAATTAAGGAGATTATTATCACAGTTCGGAAAGAAGAAAAAAAAAAGGTTATGAATCAATTTCCCAGATTCCCAGCACAAGAAGTTTCATATGAGGCGACGCGACTCCCTATGCCTGAGTGGCTACGTTTATACTTAAGAATTATACTTGGTGCAACTAAGTGTATTATTATCCTCATTTATAGCTATATCTAATGTGTTGTTGCGAATATTGTAAAGGTTAGTCTAGATCAAGACCATCAAGTCTTGGGCTTCAGACGCCCTACAGGCACGCTGACCCGCCCTGTGACAGCCTGCTACATTAAACCTCAGTTTAGCCTACTTTCCCTCAATAAGGACCACACTTTAAAGCTTTTTTGTTGATAGGCCTTCAAACTCATACTTTTTAGTTTCTCTCCTAGTCCAGCCAATTTGTATCAAAATAGTAAAGACAAAATGATATCACAACATCAGTCCAAATTGTATAACTTCTAACTATTATAGTGAACATAGGCCCAAATCATGCCTTGCTCAAATTTTCCCTAGCTTAAATGCCCTCGGTTTGCTAATATGGACATAATGGTCAGCCTTGATGGTTGCCAATTAACTACATCATGGCATCCAACATTTAAATCCCCAGAAAAATCTCAACTTTGAAAGATACTCCGTATTCTACATCTTGGGTTATAGATCTTCAACTGTGACGGAGATTTGTGGAGACAACACAGACTACTCAGTATTTTATAACAAGTTTAATGATTGTGCTTTCCACAATGAGGCTACACGGGGTAAGGTGGAACAAAGGCTAGACAGTATACAGTCAGATGCGTTACTGAGTATGTACGAGGTTCATGTTTCGAAGCTACCTGCATACTTGTTAGTTTTTACGGGCCATGATCAAGGTTTTACGAAGTAACAAGATCTAAGCAGCAAAATAAAAATATGAACTTCAGCAAACTAAGAAGGTAGTGTTGACCTCTTGATATCACACTTTGGTGCAAAGAAATTATACTTTAAGAAGAGTTACAAAAGCAAATTGTAAAAGGAACAAAGTTTGCAAACGCGACCAACGTAATTTTCAAGTGAGATAAATGATGCCAGTGGAAGTTTTAAGACTAGATGGGTGCTGGAAGGGCTAAAGGCACATGGCTATGTCATATTTTGTATGTGATCTAAAGTGAGAGGAAAGTAAATAACTAGCCAAATAGTAAGCAAAAGGTATGCGATCAAATTCTGAGCTAACTTCAAGTGTTTCCTACTCGTGCCATTATTTTCGCCCTCTTTCATCAAATTGCTAACCTCCACAAGACCACAAGTTCATGTGTATATCATTAAGACACAAGGGTGGAAATGATGATGTAAATACTTACTCTCATCACTCTTTTTTAAGAATAACAATGTTGAAAAACATTGACAGATTTGAAAAAGAGTAGTTTCTAAGAATTGCCAAATTAGTTTAAAATAGTTTCTTCCCATATCCTAGTAAGTAGAAAAATAGAAGATATTTTCCTCAAAAAAAAGAAAAATAGAAGATAAATCCCTCAGAGATCAACTTCCAAGCAAGTACTAGTGCAGCTGTGACATTGCTTGATATGCATATTGCTAGGAGACAATAAAGAAAGACATTTGGGGTAAAAGGACTATGATCGCTGTTGATTGACAAACAACAATAACAAATGTACAAGTTCAGATTCCAAAACTATGAAAATAAAGAAATAGGGAAAAATGAGAAATAAAGTATACTATAAATTAAGAGAGATAACCTAGGTGAGACGATTCAGTCAAAGGCTTCTCAAATTGTGCTATAACAGTCTCCTCTGCCACAGTCCACCCATCCCAATTGGGCGTTGCAGAATCCACCTTCTGAAAGCAGCTCTGTGAATACCATACAGCATACACACCATAAGATCACTAGAATAAAACACTCCGAAGCTGGCAATGCATCTTGCAATTAGCAAAACAATAATAGAATTAACATAGAACTTGGAACTGTGTATGCACACACGGTGAGAAGGTTTTGCTGATGAACAAATCAAGCTATCCTAAATAAACTAGTAGCGGCCACAACAGGTCACTAGATAGCATAAGATGATGTTAGAAACACAGCTCAGTGACTACTCTAAGGGCATGCTTGGATTGGGGAAAATGAGTTGAGAGGGTAACAGTACTAACAGGAGACAAACAAAGGAAAATGAAATAGAGTAGAGATGAAGGTCCATGGGCTGAGAATCATGAGAGATTGTAGTAGGAGGGAGGAATGAGGGAAATTTAACCCCATTTTAGGGTTATTGTTACCCGATACCCACCATCCCTAAAATGGGGTTACAAGCTTCTCAACCATGGCTTATAATGCACTGGACACTATTCTGATTGAAATAATGAACAAGATGCTATGGCTCCTCCGCATCTCGCTGGAGTGAGGAAAACCCAAGTACATATCAAAGCAGAAGAAAAAATGACTGGTGGATAACTTCTCAGCTATGGCTTAGAGTGGACAAACGATGGTTTGCTTTAAACTTCCCTCTACATCTTACTTGTTTTGGATTAGTATGAAGGCGATGCATATTCATTCAATCCAGATTCTCAAAGAAACAAACTCTCTGCTCTTATAGAGGTAAGGCTTCATGCATTTTAGATGACCCACTCAAATTGGAATGTTTTTTAAGGTGTATTTCTGCAGCAATTATATAGCAATGCTAAGAACAGAGAAAACAAAATTTACAGTATTAAAATTCTTACCTTTGAACATGTATATACAATAAGCGTCATCCAATTCCAATTCTCCAATAAATCTTTTTGTCCCCCAGTAGCTCCTCCTTGTAGAAAATATACTAACGGAGACATAAACTGCAACTCATGATGTCTTGGTTCACCGCAAAGGCCACATGTAGTAGGCTCAGTCACATCTCCACTAGCCAACAGTGGTTTTCCCCCAAAGGAATACCTACAACAAAGCACAGTCAGAAAACAACATTTACAAGAAAGAAAGGAAAGAAGAATAAAAGAGCAGTAATATGTAAGTAGTCAGCTAAATAACAATTTCACTAGATCTAGAACATAAAATCCTGCCACTAGCAAACTTTCTCAACACTCCCTCCCACACCCCCACCCCCCCAAAAAAATAAAAAAAAAAAAAAAATTCACCACATACACACACTTGTCTTTGGGGACATGGGTGTGCATATAGTATAGCAAACTACGCACTATGAAGCTATAGCTTATGATGTTCCATTATCCTTTGTCCTCTGTAGAGTAGCTCAGCCAGGAATTTCTGAAAATTGAAATTAAGTATAGGCATCTATAATATACATTAATGTAAGATTGAGCCATTATTATTATCAAGATGAGATCAGTTCTCCACTTCTTTCTGTAAATTAATACCTGAAACATTGCTCGGGGCATTTGTCCAGTCTTTTCTTGAACTTCAGGTAGATCCTATCTGCATTTAAAGCTCGGTCATACTCATAGCCTTCCTCTTCCCAGGTTTCTTCCTGTATTGGATCAGTATTGTCCTCATAATCTTGTGCTTCCTTGACTGAAAGTGAAGAATAATTTGAACTAACAGCTGATGGATCCTGAGATGATTTATCCTCTTGACTGTAAATATAGAAGCAAGGCAGCACTGCAATCATTCCAATAATTATTCATCCTAACAAAATTAATTTGTAATGGCAGAAAAAAGTACAGAAAGAGTCGGAAACAGGAGTCCACAAAATCAAAAATGACAAAGCAAGGAAATAAGTAGAAAAGATAACAGAACTGTTAAAAGTAATCACAAAGTAAGACTTAGGCCATGTTTAGTTCACCTTATTTCAAGTCCTTATTACTTAATTTAGATCAAATCAGGAAAAAATTAGTTTGGAACATACTTTATCGTTTTATGTGCAATTTTTATCGCTAAATATTTTTAATTTTGCAATGAAAAAAATTATGAAAACTACATATATAAAATACACATTATTACGAATATAAAAAGACTCCACTTCTTTATAGATTAGCGTAAATGGAGTATAAAAGGACAAAAGGTCAAAGTTTGGTCAAATCACACCACAAATACGTTGGTACCTCTATATGGACTCATGGATTTTAACTACCCTCAAGTCACTATGCATGAAACTAAAAAGAAAATGCATCACGAAAGAGTCTACTACTCCTTATAACTCCACTAACAAACCTTATCAAAAATGATCTAAAAGGGAAGCTGGACAGGACAATCTTTCCATAGTGTAGGGAAGTATGTGTCATAAACAGGAAACAGAAGGGAAAAAAAAAAAAAAAAAACCTACAAGAGTAGCAAAAATAATACGCGTTAGGTACGATACTCCATTTGTAATAGAAACTGCAGTCTATTGCTGCCATTATGTTTATTCATAACCACAGGACCTTCTAAATTAGGCAACCAGAGGAAATCTGAATAGAAATTTTAGGGTCATTGCTATCAGCCAATTACTTTGTAACTTCCATCCCCTTTTCCACCATCACTGCTATATCCATGCTCCACCACTATTATCACCCTATTACAGGCAATAGCTTTTTTGGGTAAAAGTAAAGTCTTAAGACTGTAAACAATATGAAAACCTTGTCCCTAAACTCCTAGCCGAAAAACTGAAAAAGTGTTCAGCTTTTATGTGTTCATCGTTTAAGCAACTATCACCCTCTTTAGGAATGAAATTAAACATCCTTATACTACCAATTACTTAATTAGATTATCATTTTTTGAACTTTTGTTTTTATGAAGTTCTAACTGTAGCATTATAGACTAAATTAGGTATTCCAGAGTGGTTACAGGACAAGATATACCATCAAGTTCTAAAGAATTTGCACACTTTATAGTGAGCCAATATTTGACAACTTGTAGTTTTTTACCCAAGTGCATATGAAAGGTTAAGGAACCACCAAATGAGTCGACAAAATCCAACTCAGGCTCGAGTTCATTTTATATACATGTCAAACTACGCAAGAAATTAAACAAAGAACACGTGACAGCCATTGCTTAACCTATTGCTCGGTTATGAGACCAACGCTAATCCAGGTGGAAAGGAGGAGGTACAAATATTAGGTAAAACCCTAGTTGTGCTAATCAATATGTCGCTATCTGTCACGCAATAAAGATTATATGCTAACAACTATTTGATGCTCGTAGACAGAGTTAAGAAGTTATTTCTGCCTTCAAGTGCCCTCTAAAAAAATATAGTTCAAGTTTCTCAGCATTAAGTTCAAATCACTCTACAGCTACTTAAAGTCGTAAAACAATATGTTACCTAAACATAATTCTGAGTTATGCATTCAAAACTCTAAAGACCTGATAGAGTTGTTCTCGAAAAAAGTGAAAATCTTACCAATAGTACCGGAGTCAACTTTTCTATGATCCGGCTTTAATGAAAGAGGTTTTGAATTAGTCTTGGTTTTTCTCTTTCCTTTTTGTTTAGTACGCTTTGAAGCTAGGCTTGCAGCTTCAAAAAGAGCCTTACTCAATTCCTCCAGGCTCATATCATCATCTGAATCCTTACTTTCAGAAGCTGAAGATGACACAATGGAAGGACCTGCTTCTGAGCCAACAAGTTCTGGTTCCCCACAGCTGCTAGGTTTCTGAACACGAATAGCACGCCAGCTATAAGGTCATCAAACTCGTGAGGAAACAAGCAATAGACCACTCAACTGTAACCAAAAACACTCAAAAAATTACAAACACGGAAATACCTTCCACACGGTGAATTCAGGCAGCCAAATACATATATCACACGCTCTTCAATCTTCAGAGCTGAATCATGAATTGGTGCATATACCTAAAATTTACAAAAATAACTATTATCTCGGTATCTCAGATGTTTAAAAGAACACACATTATCCATCTCTTAGATCAATACCTGTGAAATTAGGCACAATTTACTTTTACACGAACCACACTCGAGGAAATCCGTTCCTAACAATGACTCAGGGAAAGGCCAGTCCTACAACAGATGCAGTAAGATTAACTAATACTCCGTAATTCGTATTAAATCCAAAATTAAAGGGTGCCTAGCAATCGAAATTTTAGTGTAAGCAATAATTCTTACAGGATAACCTCCAATTTTTGTAGTATAATGATCAGCAATCTCTAGATTATCATCGGCCCAAGGTCCAGGTAAACCAAGTATCACCTCCTTCATTGCTTAATCTATCAGAAAGGTAAATATAGCAATCAAATACTTAATTTTAAAAATTTAAACTAGCATAAAAGCTATGTAACTAAATTCCCAAAAGATTATACTATAAACATTATAAATTATCACATAAACTCAATTCACAATAATATCTCATTTTATTAAAAACAAATGAATAAAATCTTGATTACGGCAAATCCCAGTAGAAGAACAATTCTTTCCATACTAACCTTTAAAGATTGAAGCAAAAATCTGCAAAGCAATAACCTTTTTTTGTATCTGTTTATTGATTGGTTTGCGTTTGCTACTGCTGTTGGATTCGAGATGAAGAATTAGAGAAAATAATTTTAAGTTGAGAATGAAAAAAAAAAAAAAAGAGGGTTTAGGGTTTAACATTTGAGTTACCTGCTGCTGCTTTTCAAGTTTCCTCCTTTAGGCTACATACAGACTTCTTCTTCTTCCTTAATTTGGGTGTATTTCTTTCGGAAAAAAATACAAGCTTGTTTTTTGATGGAAATTTTGACTTTTTTTTTTTTTTTACTTTTTATCGTCTAAATTTTTATTTTGTTACTCATCAAAGTTAAAAATTATAGATTTTAGCACCACTTAACGAAATCTGTTAGGCTTCTATTAAGTGGGACAATTATCTCATTATTTAAAAAAAAAAAATCCTATATCCTGGCCACCCCCCTCCTCGTCAGACACCTCCCCTTGCCTGTCAGCCACCCTTCCCCCAATCGAAAAACGATCCCTTTCCCCACCAAAAAACCAACACCCTTAAACCTAAACGGGTTTTAGGGTTTCGATTACCTATTTCCGGTGAGGTGTCGGTTTTTGGGTGGGGACAGGGGGTCGATTCAAGGGGGAAGGGGAGAGGGTCGTTTTCTGGTTAGAGGAAAGGGGAGGGTGATGTCGAGGTGGGGGCAACCGAAAGTAGGAAAGGAGAGGGTGGTGGGCAGAATTGGTGGGGGAATGGGAGGGGTTGGGGTTGCTAGCGCCGAGGCCCGAGGGATTGTATGCACCGACAACCGGCACTAAGAGGGGTGGCTGACAGGGAGGGGGTCGGTGGCCGGCGAAAGGGGAGTGGTTGGGATTTTTTTTTTAAGTTTTTAAATTTTTTAATAAATTAAATCATTAAATAATAAAATAATGGGCCCCACTTAACAAAACCGTAATGGATTTTGTTAAGTGATACCAAAATCTTTTTTTTTTTTTTATAACTTTGATGAGTACCAAAATAAGATAAAATTTTAGATGGATACCAAAAATCAATATGGGTCATTTTCAAAGTACCAAAAGTCAAAATTTTCAAGGTAACAAAATTTTAGATGGATTTTGTTAAGTGATACCAAAATCTTTTTGTTTTTTTTTTTATAACTTTGATGAGTACCAAAATAAGATAAAATTTTAGATGGATACCAAAAATCAATATGGGTCATTTTCAAGGTACCAAAAGTCAAAATTTTCTAATTTAATGGCCTGATTTTGCATCATTTTGGGTATGATACACTAGAGATAAATAAATTATATTTTGTATAACCACTAATTTACTTAACAAATGAAAGAAATATATAGTGTTACGTGAAATTAAAACACAAATTAAAGTTGGTTGGAAATCGTAAATGCATTACCTTTATGTGTTGGAGGTTACGGGGGTTCGAATCTAGCTATACTTGAAGAGTGTCACCGTTCCTTTGAAAGGAACACCTTCTAAGTTTTAATGTATACATAGTAGTATAGATTTGGTAGCAAAAGATATCTGCGTCTATCTGTATAAATAAAAGGAAAAATGGTAAATAATAATCCCAACTTTGCTCCATTTTCTTTTAATAATCCCAACTTTTATTATTTCCAGGTGTGGCCCAATCCCCGTTAGGGTTTTATATTGGCACTACAGATATTATTGGTCAAAATTTTATATCGGCACATATATAACGCTTTAATGGGACACTTAAAAAGATGAAGGGAGAATTAAACTCGTGGGTTAACAGAAGTCGGGTAAGGAATTATGTGACAAGGCAGTATACATTTTTTTTTAATGTGAAACAGTGTCTCAATGAGGGCTGTGATAATCGATGATTTTCGGTGCCGCCCATGGTAGTTGGCTTCATAGTTTAATTAAGTGGTTTATTATGCCAATTCCTTTTTAAGCTTTCCTTAATTCCTTTCTTTCCTCTTTTCATGGTTGGGTTTTGCCGTCCTAAAACCTATTTTATTCTTGCACAATCTAATATCTTTCATTTTCTTTTTTAAAGAAACTTTAATATCTTTCATATTTTGTCATACAACAATAATGCTCGTACTAAACTACAAAACTATTCTGTCACTATTAGAACAACAATGCCCAGATTGTCCACTCCTCCACAACCTAACTATTAAATAAAAAATTGGTGTGATTTATATAATATTTAATTCTGTTATTTTTCAAATAATTATTTAAATATATTGATAAAAAGTTGTATGATAAAAATCTTGATAATCTAACATATGCGTAGTTTTATTTAGGAAAAATTGTAAATAATAATTTCAACTTTGCTCCATTAACTTTTAATATTCTCAACTTTAAATTATTCTGGATTAATCCCAACTTTAGGGTTTGTTTACTTTCTTCAATTCCAAACCGGTCAACAAAAGTCAATGACCTATTATATATATCAGGTCACTTGACACGTGTTAAGTCTTGATTGCTCCAAAATAAAAATAAAATAAAATAGAAAAACAAACCAGCCTTTCCTTCTACCACCGACATACCTTAATCCCCACCACCACTGCCCAGCCCAACGCCCCTCCCTCGCCGGACCATCGCGTTTCCCCACATTTGCGTCATCATTTCCCTTGCAATCTGCCGACGCCTGTATCGAACTCTTTCTGATCTTGTTGCTCGAACTCTTTGCGACTTATCGTTAGGGTTTGAAATTGGGGGCTGTGAGGATTGGGCCCCACTTGAAAATGACCCAACCTGATTATAACCCGCAAATTATTGACTAGAATCGAACCCGACTTAAACCCGAGACTGACTCGACTTTAAAATGACTCGATCTGATTATAACCCGCAAATTATTGACATGAATCGAACCCGAATTGAACCCGAGACTGACCCGACTTCAAAATGACCCAACCTGATTATAACCCGCAAATTATTGACTTGAACCGAACCCGACTCAAACCTGAAAATGACCCGACTTGATTTTAACCCGTAAATTATTGACTTGAACCGAACCCGATTCGAACCCGAGAATTACCCTAACCCGTGAAAACCCGAATTAAACCCGACCTATTGTTCACCCGATCCAAATGTAACCTGACCTATATTAACCCGACCCTAACCCGATAAGAAGTATGACCTAACGTGACCAGACTCAAGCATTACCCAACCCAAACCCGACCCGCATAGGTTATGGAATTAATCCGAATTGACCCAACCCAAGTTGACCCGACCCACTCTTATCGACCTAAACCCGACGACCTGTTTATCCGAGTTGACATCTCTATCCGAAACCTTCAATTTTGGAATTTTTTGACTTTTTCTCACTCGAAAATAAAAATTGCCGAAATGTTTACCGTGGTCCCTAATATCCTTCGAGACTCCAATTGGTTGGGTGCAACCATCCAATTTGCCTTTAAATGACCAATTTACCAGTTTACAACTTGTACCGATTTCATTACCCAAGCCCACCACGAACATTTATGACAACATATAATGATCATATATGGTTCCAAATGGCATTATATGTCCCAAGATGTATCCCCTAAAATCTCAATGTTTTTCGACACCGGGCCCCGAAACAATCGAAATTTCTCAAAAAGAGTGGATATTTGCCTTGAATTTTGGAATTTTTTGACTTTTTTTTTCGCCCGGATATATGATAATTGCCGATATGTTTACCATGGTACTCGATGCCCTCCAGGAATCCAATTGGGTGGGCGGAACCATCCAATTTGCCTTTAAACGATCAATTTACCGGTTTACAACTTGCACTGATTTCATTAATTCAAGCCTACTACGAACATTTATGACAACAAATAATGATCATATATGGTTCCAAACGACATTATATGACCCCGAGATATATTCCCTAGAGTTTCAAAACTCTTCGCAACCGGACCCCGAATACTCCAAAAAAATCTCAAAAAGCGTGGAAAATAGCCTTCAATTTTTGAATTTTTTTGACTTTTTTGCCATTAAAAAATTGCCGAAATATTAACCATGGTCTTTAATACCCTACGAGAGTTCAATTGGGTGGGTGGAACCATCCAATTTGCCTTTAAACGACCAATTTACCAGTTTACAACTTGCGCCAATTTCATTAACTAAAGCCTACCACATACAAACATTTATAACAACATATAATAATCATATATGGTTTCAAACGAAATTATTTGAACTCGAGATGTATCCCCTAAAATCTAAAGGCTTTTCGACACCGGGCTCCGAAACCTCCAAAAATTCTCAAAAAGCGTAGATTAGCCTTCAATTTTGGAATTTTTTTACTTTTTATTGCCCAGATATAAAAATTGCCGAAATGTTTACCGTGGTCCCTAATACCCTCCGGGAGCCCAATTGGGTGGGTGGAACCACCCTGCTATTTGCCTTTAAACGGCCAATTTACCGGTTTACAACTTGCACCGATTTAATCAACTCAAGCCTACTACAAACATTTATGACAACATATAATGATCATATATGGTTCCAAATGGCAATATATATGACCCTGAGATGTATCCCCTAAAATCTCAAAACTTTTTGACAACAGGCCTTGAAACATCCAAAATTTCTCAAAAAGCATGGATTTCAATTTTTGAATTTTTTGACTTTTTTTTCACCCGGAAATAAAAATTGTCGAAATGTTTACCATGGTACCTTATACCCTCCGGAAGTCCAATTGGGTGGGTGGAACCATCCAATTTGCCTTTAAACGACCAAATTACCGGTTCACAACTTGCACCGATTTGATTAAATCAATCCTACCACGAACATTTATGACAACAAATAATGATCATATATGGTTCAAAACGGCATTATATGACCTCGAGATATATCCCCTAGAATTTTTAGACTTTTCGACACCGGACCCCGAAACCTCCGAAATTTCTCAAAAAGTGTGGATGTTAGTCTTCAATTTTGCAATTTTTTGAATTTTTTTTCGCCCAAAAATATAAATTGCCGAAATATTTGTCATGGTCCCTAATACCCTCTAGGATTCCAATTGGGTGGGTGGAACCATCTAATTTGCCTTTAAACGGCCATTTTACCGATTTACATTTTTCATCGATTTCATTAACTTAATCATGCCACGAACATTTATGACAACATATATATAATGATCATGTATAGTTCCAAACGACATTATATGACCCCGAGATGTATCTCCTAAAATCTCAAGCCTTTTAGACACCGGGCCCCGAAACATCCATAATTTCTCAAAAAGTGTGGATAAATTAGACTTCAATTCGGAATTTTTTGACTTATTTTTGCCCGTAAATAAAAATTGCCGAAATATTTACCATGGTCCCCAATACCTTCTAGGAGTCCAATTGGGTGGTTGAAATCATCCAATTTGCTTTTAAACGACCAATTTACCGGTTTACATCTAGCACCGATTTCATTAACTCAAGCTTACCACGAACATTTATGACAACATATAATGATCATATATGGTTCCAAACGGCATTATATGACCCCGAGGTTTATCTCCTAGTATCTCAAGCCTTTTCGACACCGGGCCTCGAAACCTTCAAAATTTCTCAAAAAACGTGGATATTAGCCTTCAATTTTGGAATTTTTTAATTTTTTTCGCCTGTAAATAGAAATTACCGAAAGGTTTACCATGGTCCTTAATACCCTCCGAGAGTTCAATTGGTTGGGTGGAACCATCCAATTTGTCTTTAAACGCCCAATTTGCCAGTTTACAACTTGCATCGTTTTCATTATCTCAAGCCTACCACGAACATTTATGACAACATATAATAATCATATATGATTCCAAACGACATTTAATGACCCCGGGATGTATTCCCTAAGATCTCAAGTATTTTCGACACCGGGTCTCGAAACCTCCAAAATTTCTCAAAAAACGTGGATATTAACCTTAAATTTTGGATTTTTTTGACTTTTTTTCGCTCGTAATTAAAAATTGGCGAAATGTTTATCATGGTCCCTAATACCCTCCGTGAGTCCAATTAGGTGGGTGGAACAATCCAATTTCCCTTTAAATGACAAATTTACCGGTTTACAACTTGCACTGATTTCATCAACTCAAGCCTACCGTGAACATTTATGACAACATATAATGATCATTTATAATTTAAAACAATATTATATGACCCTGAGATATATCTTCTAAAATCTCAAACCTTTTCGACACTGGGCCCCGAAACCTCAA